CTTTTTTTTCTGGCGATGTTGTCTTTTCGTATAACATCATCTTGGCAATGTCTCCAAAGGAATTCCCAAAGTGCACAAATAACGGAAATATTAGAATGGAAATGGCCGTTTCTCAGCGACTCCGTGATGACAGTTGCCGCTATTTAGGGCAAAGTTTTACTGCCGGCCAGGGACCTTGGGATCGGGTGCGAAACGGCGCAAGTTTTAAGGTTATGGCTTTATGCACAGATAGTATGTATTATAGTAAAGTAGGAACGGAATCGTCAAAACATATGTCCGCTTGGCGCGGCTTGTTTCTGCAATAACATTAAAGATTAAAACGATGCTGATTCTCTATGGAGTTGTTTTCAAAGAAACTAGGAGATTGAAATCTATTTTTCTATACAATTTGACTTTCTATTCTAAGTAATTTTGGTTAGTTTCTGAACTGATAGGATTCTAATCTTGATGTGTTTAGGTAAGTTACAATCTGTAGTTTATAACAGATACCTACCAGGAAAAGTTTGAAGAGCTGATTGATTTCTTATAGATTGATATCCAATGGTGCTCACATTGAAGTTAAGAAAGAAAGTGGGCTTAAAGCAATGACATATTAACACAGATAGGCATTACAGTAAACAAACTTTTGTGTCGCCAACATTTAGGAGACCAATCCACCACCGGTGTATCCCCTCCAATCGGGTTGTATAATTGTTAAGGATTGATATTTAAACCTGTTATGACTTGGCTTCAAAAAGTTGGAGGTTGAAGACTAAAAATGACTACTGGCAACGGCGGTTCTGTAAGACAGGCGGAACACACCTGCAAACCTGTTAACATCACTGATACTACGCCAGAAGTAATCATCACTTATCCACCCAATACGACTACTAGAAGAACAGTTACAACAGTACGTACCACATCCCGTGTAGTTATATCACCTTCTCCGAGAACAACGCTTTTTACAAGAACAACAACTCCATCTACTCCAGGTATTTGTTTCTTGCCACTACAAACTACAAGAAAGCCGACTACAACTCAAAGGCCAGTAACTACGCCAAGACCAGTTACTACTACCTGGTCTACTTCTGCAAGACCACAGAGCACTCCAGGTTTTTCTTATTTGCAACCTCAAATCACTACTAGAAGGCCAACTACAACTCAAAGGCTGACTACGAGGCCTGTAAGAACCACTACACCTCAGCTGCGTACTATTATAGAGTGACACAAAAAGTAACTACAACTACTAGAAGGCCTCCAAGACCAGTTATTACCACAAGACCTATTACTGCAAGACCGCAGAGTACTCCAGGTGTTTCTTATTTGCCACCTCAAACCACTACTAGAAGACCGACTACGAGGCCTGTAAGAACAACTACGCCTTAGCTGCGTAGTACTACTAGAATGACACATAAAGTAACTACAACTACTAAATAGAAGGCCTGTTACCACTCCTAGACCAGTTACTACTTCAAGACCAGCTACTATTTCAAGACCAGTTATTACCAGAAAGCCTACTACTGCAAAACCACAGACCACTTCAGGTAGTTCATAATTGCCACCTTAAACCACTACTAGAAGGCCATTTACAACTAGAAGGCCATTTACAACTCAAAGGCCGACTACAAGACATGAATGCTCTCCGTAGGGCCCTTTCCAGAACTTGCACATACTGTGCAATATTGGTTTTCCTTGGGTCACGATAAAGTCTTGTGGTCTTAGGGGAGCAGTTTATTGTGAAAGTTATTCATCGGTGATCCGACATGGAAAGTTCATCAGATACGGGCTAATTGCACATTTTTTTTTTGTTTTTTTTTTTCAAAAATGTTTTCTACTACCCTAAAGACATAGTCATGCAATTGAGCATTAAAAATCAGCCGTTAATTTATTATAAATATTTGAAGTTAGATTTGGGGGAGATGTGGGGTTTGTGTACCTAATTAATAATTATCTTAGGAAATTCCAATACTTAGGTATAATATATTTGACAATAAATGGTTTACTCCTTTTAACTACCTGGACGTTCTGAAAGAGCTCGACCATGAACACAAAGGGAATACAATGGGTAGTTTTATTGCAGTCATTAACTCGATTCGAATTATTGTGAAAAATACTATATCAATTGTTTTATGTAGGGGTAGGAAAATATTAAATACTTGAACGAACAGCTGTTATTACTAGTCACAGCTACAGACAAAAATGCACTCTGGCTGGAACTCTGTAACCTGTAACGGATAGAGATCGTTATCCCTATCGCTATGGCACTTGCTGTCTTCTTCTCTCTTCTCGAAATCAATAGAGACGGGACGTCAATAAAATAGAGAAAATATCTCTATTCGTTACAGAGTCCCGGGCTCTTTCAATTTTGCGCGGTTATCGAAAAGTAAAGTTTACCCGGTGACTGTACTCAGTACATTCTCTAATTTGTATATTTGGTATTTGTATATTTTACGGGCAATGGGCAATCAGAGCTGTTGTGAGTACCAAGAAAAAGTACCTACTTAAGTATTAGGTATAAGTTTCTATTTGAATACGAATCAAGTACCAGTATATAAGTATAAGTACAGAAGGAAATACTTGAAATATCAAGTAAATTGACTTGAATTGTCAAAATTCAAGTACAAGTACCAAATTCCACGAAAGTTAGAGTCAAGTTCAAGTATTCACTTGAACTTGCGTACTTGAAATGACATTGACGTATTTCTTCGTAAAAAAAATTAAAAAATTATATTAAGTATTGTTCGAATTAAGCTAACAAATTAAATTATTGCTATCGATAATTTTAAAGGGGGTGGGACCCAAAAATGAAAGTTTTAGAAAAAAACTCCAAGAACAAATTAAGCATTAGGCTACAACCAACCGTTGCGAAGATATCGTGTTATAAAGTTCCCACTCCTAGCATTGTGACGTCATATGCACAAACTGAGTCCGACAGCAGGCGCTGGCGCGCGTTTTTTGATTCTTACTGGGTATATTAGCTCTGTTCCAACCGATATGAGAACTGTTCCAGAACCAGTAATTTTCAGTTGCCTACCTAAGTTGAACGTTTATCCTACTTGACAAATGAATTGATCGACTGGAAATTACCGTTCTGGAACGTTTCTCATATCGGTTGGAACAGAGCTATTATCGACATTATCGTATTGTTTTTCGTTCTCACACCTATTGCTGCGTTAGTTTAAATAGGTTTTGCAATTTTTGCGTGTGTTTATGACGTCACCCGATAAATAGATAAAACTTTATTTAGTCGTCAAGTAAATGTTCAAGTAGGTATTTGAAAATACTTCAATTAAAAATATTTACTTCAAGTAATTTCACTGATACTTAAGTAATTTAATAGGTATCACTTGAGTAAAAATTTTCAAAAGCTTTCAAGTAAAACATACTAATATTTTAAGTATTAAGTATAAGTAAAATTTAAAAAATTGAAATTGCAAGTACAAGTACCAATGTTTAGATTAGTATTTAAAATAATCAGTTTGAGTCGTTTTTTCTTTTCAAGACCAAGACCAAGACGAGAGTCTCGACAGACTAGTCTTGTGGTTTCGCAAAGCCTTATGATTTTTTCCTCCCATGGTATTCATAGGGTGGCTTCCGTCAGTTTTTCCATCGTCACTACCCTCCGCAAAGGATCTGTGTTTTTTCTTTGAGCCAGGCCAACGATACGCCGTCATCACAAGTGATCTGACGATCAACCCTGGGTATGTCCACGACGTGAACGTGGGTGGCTCACTCTCTCCACTGTAGGTGTCCAGGGTTCTGTCCAGTTCCTCTAGTAGAGTGTTTACTAGGATTTCCTCCTTATCCGCAGGTAGTTTGCCGTAGGGTTTGTCCTTGTCAATAATTGTTACTTTCAGGTGGCTATTCGCAGCATCTTTGTAGCTTTTGTTGGCAGAAACCAGGGGTGCCACCTGACGTGGCCTCTTGCGTCTGCGTCTGTCCGGAGTTTCCTTGTCCAAGATCTAATTATTTTTATGTCCTTAGGGGAGACGCGTTCCAGTTCTCTTGTGGAGGTGGAACTGGCGTCGCCGCCCGTGGACTTTAGGAAGGAAGCACGGTTCTAATCGGCGTACCTTCTGCCTTCTTTTCGCCTCTGCCCCGCAAATTTTTTTGCCTCGCCTATGACGGTTGGAGGTTGTTTTGGTTTTATCCTGAAGTGAGCTGCTAGGTCCAGCCTCAGTATTGGTTGTTTGTATTAATTTTTTCTCGTCCACTCTTGTTCCCACGAAAAGTAAGGGAAATCAACCGTCGTCGCCCGCAGAGCCCCGCTTGCCGACAGAAAGCTTTTTAAAACTGGGTGTCGCCGGGTTCCCAGAGTTCGCATATTGTTGGCCAAGCTTCCCCTTGGCCTTGCAGTCCTCGGCCCATGCTGTTCCACCTTGACTTGGGGGAGTTTTATTGTGGATCCTATCCACATTGAGTCATCCTTAGCTTCATCTACCGTCCTCGTTCCATTGAGAGGAAACGGGAGCAGTGTTTACTATAGGCCCCCTTACCAGTGGCGAGGTCTCATGACTCCTCTTACTGTTGAATTGATTATTGTTTATGATGGCTTCAGAAACAACACATATAGGTACCTACCCAGTGTACGACTTTTAAGACTCAGTTACCCTTTTAATCAGCTTCAAACTAAGAATGATTCTAATGACTTCATTGGATATTGAAATCCACCAGCTTGTCTACGATTATCTGCGGCTCCTGTAAAGTATTTTTTCTAAATTTTCGCAGAACTGCCAGTATAACACTTCTGGAGTTCCCTACGATAGAGAAATCAGAATATTCGGGAAAACCTTGGAGTCAATAAAATAAAAAGTGGAAATTCCAGCAGCCTCTGCCTCTAATAATCTTATTAAAATTTATGTTACAACATCAACTATTTTGATTTCTTGTCTCAAAACCATAAACAAACACTACTGGCAGTCTGCCATTAGCTAAATCATATAGGTTGCTTGTATACCCTACGTTCATCTAAAATCAATTTTAGCAACAATTAAAAACTAGTTACTCGGGTGATTCATTTTGTGTAGAACTATAAATAAAGCCTTGTTTAAATAATCATAAGTCTCGGTTCATTGTTTGCAGTAGGCAGTGATGGGTGGTCTGTATTTTAAGTCAAAGCGATATTATTTTTAATGTTAATATTCATTCCTGTTTGTTCACTATGTCGTTTCGTATGCAATTGATTACTTTTGTTTTAAGTGCGGTTGAATTTAATTTATATTATGCTGTAACTGCAGGTAAATACTTTATTTAATTTAATGCCCTGCATCTAACTAATATAGGCAACCTAAATTTACATATTTTCCTATTTTAGATTGCATATTTAGGGTAACCAATAATGAAACAGAAAAATACCTTCCAGTACCTTTATACAACACATCATCGGAATATGATCTAGCAATACCCCATGAAGGATTGATACACTTGCAAAAAGGCCAAAACATAAGTTTGTCATGTTCAGGACAAAGGAATTATGTCAGGCAAAGTAATGATGAGCAGCAATAATATGGCATATTTCCAAATATAATGCGGTTATTTTTAGCTAACTCAAATGTAACTTCTGTAACGTGCCTGGAAAACGACAAAGTGAAACTCTACAGACAAACCTACAAATTCGAACAAATACAATGTAAACGTATTGTAAAAGGTAGCGTTCGTTCTATCAATGAAACATGTGGAAATAATGAAGGAATAATACACCAAATTGGTTATCCAGTTACTAAATGTGATTGGGTTACTTTGATAACGTTATGCTACCAACCTAAAATTGGAAACACCTTGTTTAGCCAGCATACGTTACATGGACGAGAAATAAAATGTAATATTTTATTATTATGAAATAATTTGTAAAAAAATTGTTTTAGTTGCTTCTAAAAACAAATACAGACCAGGATTTAGTACAGCTGGTGAAAATGAAAATATTACAGCTTCTTTGGTTTACAAGCAGACATATCAAAAATCAACTTTCAGCAGTATATTAGGATCTTCTCGATTAGCTAACAACTACATAAATACCAAGTCTTATTTGGCGAGAGGACATTTATCTCCAGATGCTGACTTTTTGCTGGCCACAGCCCAATTTTCTACTTATTATTATGTTAATGCAGCTCCACAATGGTAAATATCAAGTTTGAAGATTATTGAATTAATAATTTTTCTATGTCCAATAAGGCAAAGTATTAATAATGCTAATTGGAAAAGTGTTGAAAATACTGTGAGGATTTTGGCAGTCAATTATGGAGATTTGAATATAATCACTGGAACATTTGGTGTTCTTAGTTACAATGATGTTAATGATAATTTAAAAGAAATTTATTTAGGTGAGTGAAATGTTTTCTAATAAGTATCAGTGAATTTAAAGTATATTTCAGGAATAAACAACATTTTGCCGGTACCAAAATACTTCTGGAAAGTAGCTTATGATATAAAAACTCAAAAGGGTATTGCTTTTGTTGTAGTTAATGATCCTTATGTTAAATCAGTAAATGAAGACGTATTCTGTGAAGATATTTGTATAGCAAACGGATTTACCAAGAAATCATGGAAAGAAATTTCCACTGGTTATGTATTTTGCTGTAGCGTTTCTGATTTCAGGCATAAGGTGAAAACTCTGCCTAAACTGGATGTTTCTGGAATTCTAACAATTGATCAATCAACAATGCGTTATCTATTGGAAGAAGATTTATAATAATTGTTATTATTGTTAAATAAAACATTGCATGTAGTTTTTTTTCACTGACATTCAACGAAAGATCATATTATCATCAACTCAATAATGTCCGTTGGGGGTATTTTGTTTTTAGAAAAAAGTAGGTACATGGTGTTTTTTTATGTATTGACACCCCACCTACAGCCTTTACCTTTACAGGTAGATGAAAGTTGTAAATACAAAAGTTGTGCACATTATGTTACTCGTTTGGTAGAGTAATGACATTACTAATTCCTGTTGAAAGTCAAATTGACAAAAAGTGATTAATCATAATCTTAAAAATTTTGACTTTATGTAATAAGTTATTGTTCAAGTACAAATAAGTAGATTATTGCGAAACTTATGAGTGGACCTCTGCGGGACGAGCGCAGCGAGTTCCGCAGCAATCTACTCACCAATATACTGTTGAACTGTTCAAATAAAACACTCACCTGAAACGTGTCCTTTTTAAACTAATGAGAATAACTCACATTTGAGTGAATCAGGTTAGTATCATAATTAAACAACATATTGATGAATAGATGGCTGCCCATAAATTCCGCAACAATTCACTCATTTGTATTTGAATAACTTGTCCCATTATGTTACTAGTTTGATAAAGTAACATTAGGTACTAATTTCTGTGGAAAGGCAAATTGACAAAAAGTGAATAATCATAATCTTACAAAATTTGACTTCATATAAGTTATTGTTTAAGTACAAATAAGTGAATTGTTGCGGAACTTATGGGTGAACCTCTGCGGGACGAGCGCAGCGAGTTCCGCAGCCATCTACTTATCAATATAATGTTAAACTATCCAAATAAGACATTCACCTGAAACGTGTAGGTTTTAAACTGAGAATAACTAACATTTAAGTGAGCCAGGTTAGTATCGTAATTAAACAACATATTGCCGAATAGATGGCTGCGGAACTCGCTGCGCTCGTCCCGCAGAGGTCCACCCATAAATTCCGCAACAATTCACTCATTTGTACTTGAATAACTTGTTACATTATGTTACTAGTTTGGTAAAGTAACATTACTGACTCCTGTTGAAAGGTAAATTGAGAAAAAGTGAATAATCATAGTCTTACAAATTTTGATTTTATATAGGTAATAAGTTATTGTTTAAGTACAAATAAGTGCATTATTGCGGAACTTATTGTGGACCTCTGCGGGACGAGCGCAGCGAGTTCCGCAGCCATCTACTCACCAATATACTTTAAACTATTCAAATAAGACATTCACCTGAAACGTGTAGTTTTTAAACTGAGAATACCTCACATTTGAGTGAGTCAGGTTAGTATCATAATTGAACAACATATTGATGAATAGATGGCTGGTTTCTAAAAATTCAGCCAAAACTGTACAACTTTTGTATTTACACCTTTCTTCTACCTGTAAAGGTAAAGGCTGTAGGTGGGGTGTCAATATATAAAAAAACACCCTGTACAAATAAGTGGATTATTGCGGAACTTATGGGTGGACTTCTGCGGGACAAGCGCAGCGAGTTCCGCAGCCATCTACTGACCAATATACTGTTGAACTGCTCAAATAAGACACTTGCCTGAAACGTGTAGTTTTTGAACTAATGAGAAAAATTCACATTTGAGTGAGTCAGGTTAGTCTCGTACTTGAACAACATATTGGTGAATAGATGGCTGGGTCCACCCATAATTTCTGCAAAAATCCACTCGTTTGTACTTGAATAACTTGTCACATTATGTTACTAGTTTGGTTAAGTAACATTACTAATTCCTGGTTGAAAGGCAAATTGACAAAAAGTGAATAATCATAATCTAACAAATTTTGACTTTATATAATAAGTTATTGTTTAAGTACAAATGAGTGGATTATTGCGGAACTTATGCGTGGACCTCTGCGAGACGAGCGCAGCGAGTTCCGCAGCCATCTACTCACCAATATACTGTTAAACTATTCAAATAAGACATTCACCTGAAACGTGTAGTTTTTAAACTGAGAGAAACTAACATTTGAGTGAGTCAGGTTAGTATCGTAATTAAACAACATATTGATGAATTGATGGCTGCGGAACTCGCTGCGCTCGTCCCGCAGAGGTCCACCCATAAGTTCCGCAACAATTCACTCATTTGTACTTGAATAACTTGTCACATTTTGCTATTAGTTTGGTAAAGTAACATTACTAATTCCTGTTGAAAGGCAAATTGACAAAAAGTGGATAATCTTACAAATTCTGACTTTATATAATAAGTTATTTGTTCAAGTACAGGGTGTTTTTTTTATATATTGACACCCCACCTATAGCCTTCACCTTTACAAGTAGATGAAAGGTGTAAATACAAAAGTTGTACAGTATTGGCTAAATTTTTAGAATCCATGGTCAGAAACAAAAATGGAATATCAGAAATCTGAAGTGTTGCATTCTTTCAGCTTTTTCCAAATGGGAAGCCCAATATTTGGTTCTATATTCTTGAAGAGCACAATTTCCCGATTCCAAAACTATATAGTTTGTCTGTATTTGGTTGAGCCGTCTCTAACATAGTTGGTTCTAAAAATTTTAAAAATACTATTAGAGAAACCAAGTAGGTACCTCAAATTTTACCTGCAGCTTTCACCTGTAGGTAGAGGTAGAATGGTTCACAAAATCAATAGTAGGATAGTATTTTTACAATTTTTGGAGCTGAATATATGAGAGACTGTTCAATCAAATATAGAAAAACTATACAATTTTGGAATCGGGGCATTGTGCTGTTCAAGAATATAAAATGAAATATAGGGCATCCCATTTGAAAAAAGCTGGAAATATGCGAAATTTGACCATGGTTTCTGAAAAGTCAGCCAAAACTGTACAACTTTTGTATTTAGGTACGCCTTTCTTGTACCTGTAAAGTAAAGGCTGTAGGTGGGGTGTCAATATATATAAAAAGACACCCTGTAAACAATGATCCTAAGGGTAAAATTTGATAATTAATACAGTTTCATAATCTTTCATGTAAAATAATTATCTAACCTACAATCAACGTTACTGTTCCCCCTGCTTATTCTTAAATTTTTCATTTCTTTTGTCGTTCAAATACAAAAAAAAATATACTAATTTGCTGCCAAAAGACACCTCACGCAAAGCCTGGGACAGAAAAAAGCCTGAAAAAAAAGTTTTTAACAGTTTTTCTCAGAGGGGACGTCGCATTAAAGAACGAGGCCCGTCAAAATGAAATGCCAAATTATATATTTGAGTTTTTTTGTTTTGTTTCTGGTCCTAATAAATAATAAAGAAAGCTAAGAATAATAACTTAGTTTCAATAATAATGATAATAATTTGAATCCCAGAGAAGGTTGCACCTCAAAAAACACATGGAAAAGCAACAAATCCTTTCAAAAACTCATAATTTTCTAAGAAGCATATTATATTGCAAATTCTCAACCCTATCATCAATCTTTTAAACCCTTATATTCATCCTCTGGACATAAAAATTATCCACAAGTTATCAACTCCTGTCTTTTATAGACACAAAAGCGTGTAAAACCGTAAGTTTCATCAAGATTTCGTGCAAAACGGGAGGAATTTTCGTGGGTCCCGCGTTGTTCCTGCTTCCTGCCGCAATAAAGGAATAAATCGCGTTTTATGGTTTTACGGTCCTTTTGAGCCGGCCGACTAAATTGGGTAGAATAAAGCGCTCGTCACTTAATCGAGCGAATTATTCATTCCGAGACTTTATTCCACGGGATTTTGTCAAATAAACTGTCATTGTAATTTATCTTTTCTTGTTGCTAGATTACTTTTGGCCGTATTTCGAAAAGGGATTTTTACCTTTTTGAGGGGTTTAGAAATCTTATGTATTGCACAGTTCGAACAGAAACAACCTGTTTTTGATTTGTGAGTAATATTTGGAATTTATCCAAATATTGGCTGGATCGACAACCAAACAACTAACACCAAAAATGTTTGTTGGTTTTCAAAATAATTTGGAAAATAGCAAACTACATACCTATAGGAATATTATAGACACTGCTGCAGACAAAATATACTTTGTCATGTTCCTTAATTATTTTGCTACCCTAGTTTTGTGAAGGGGATTCAATACCATGATTATTTTTTTCTAAAACGTATAATTTTTCATAGAACAAACAGTATTTCTATGCTGCCATCTGTTGCCTCCCTCCTTTACACTGCTATATTCTGCGATAGATCAATAAAATCATTCCAGATGCTACAATCCATAAAGTTGTTACAAGAACAGAAATATCAATTATTTTAGCTTTTCTTACAGATTTCTCTTAAACAGTGCGTGAGAAATATTATAGGAATCTTTTTGTGGACATTATTTTACAGAGTGTCTCAAATATAGATTCGAACCCTTTGATAGATTGATAGATTAACAATACTTCAAATATTTTTAAACAGTTTGTTGCAGATCCTAAGTTTTTTCAATCTAAAAACCTTCATTTGTCATTGTATGCTTTGGAATATATAAATTTGAATATATATATTTTGAACCAAGTAAAGATTCCATGTTAGTATGAATTCAATCCCATGTACAGTTTTTGAATAATCATACAATTTCCTATGTAGGTACAGTTTTTGATTAATCATACAGTTTTGTATATTTTCGTATGGTTCTCCATTCGTGCGTAGGTCGATCGAGTGTAAGTAGAATGTTTCCACAGCTATCAGACCACATACCCACCTTTACCACGTAAAACCCCCCTCCAGCACAGCCATCATACCACTACCCACCTCCACTATAAACCCCCTTCCGTGAAACTCCTGAGCACTTTTTTGACTCAAGTGCCCCCAGCTATCAGACCAATACCCACCTTTTCTACGTAAATGGTTCACCAGATTCACAAATTTTGGGGTTGGCCCGGGTCAAATTCCCAAAATTTCAGATCAAAGGCGCCGATCTAGAGATTTTCCCAAGGTATCGAAAAAGTTCCCACGGTTGGCCCGAGTCAAATTTCCAAAATTTCAGATCAAAGGCAATCGATCTAGAGATTTTCCCACGGTATCGAAAAAGCTCCCACGGTTGGCCTGGGTTAAATTCCCAAAATTTTAGATCAAAGGCGCTGATCTAGAGATTTTCCCACGGTATCGAAAACGATTCCACGACTTGGTTTTATTTAAAATATTAATACATAATTGGATAAAATAATTTTATCACAATAATAACATTTTGCTTGTGAATATGGTGGACCATCAAAATGATTTTTCCATTCATCTCTATGGATAAAACATGTTAACTTAATTTGAAGTAAGATATTATTTTTGTAATTTATTGGTAATTTAACCCATGCATCCAAAAGTTCAAAGGTCTTTGCATGTTTCAATAAATAATCCAACGGAATTCTCAATAGTTCTCCGCTTGTAAAATCTGAGAGTAATTGTTCGCCATTCATTTGAGCTAGAACATTGTCTATAGAGGAACAACAATTCATTTTTGAGTTTTTTCAGTGTTGGTGGTTGTCAATAACTCTACTACTATTTTTGCAATATAACTTTGATAGGGTCCTTCAACAATAACGGTCTGCTTTTAATTTTGAATCCTTCCAGAAGCTTCTACATCCCATGGAGTTTAAAACACTATTGACGAATAAAAATGCAGAAATTGTTTAAATATTCTTTATTTTTTAAGAAAGTGAAGGGATATGGAAAGAGGTACCTTTTCTAGGTGAGTATTGGTTTGATAACTGAAGGCTCTTGAGCGTGGGAACTTTTTCGATACCGTGGGAAAATCTCTGGATCGGCGTCGTCTTTGATCTGAAATTTTGAAATTTTGACCCGAGTCAACTGTGGGAACTTTTTCTATATCGTGGGAAAATCTCTAGATCGGTTGCCTTTGATCTGAAATTTAGGAAATTTGATCCGGGCCAATCGTGGGAACTCTTTCTATACCGTGTAAAAATCTCTAGATCGGTTGCCTTTGATCTGAAATTTTGGGAATTTGACCCGGGCCAACCCCAAAATTTGTGAATCTGGTGAACCATTTACGTAGAAGAGGTGGGTATTGGTTTGATAGTGTTGCGTTGCATGGGATTGGCTGATTTACGGTGTAGGCAGAGCTTGTGAAGGGTAGCGCCGAAACATATAAAAATAGCCGTTTTCAGGCCAGAGTCAGTCAGTTCTCTTCAGGCAGTAATTGAGACTTCATCTCACCTGTCTGCCCCGTTCTCTGCGCCAGAGACAAGAACAGCTCTCCCCTCATTTGTTCGACAGAAGTGTTGTGACATGTACCCGGCACTTAGGAGAGCATATTAGGCTGGCAACGCTTGCTGTAGGTCACCTTGCCTTAGGGATCACTTTATGTGGCCGGTAGACGAACCTCTCAGAGCGTTGTTGGTGCGAGCTACCGTCATAGGTGCGAAGAAAGAAACGAGAGAGCCAACGTACAATCCCTGGGACGCGAAATAAGGCTTCCGGAAAAGCCCAGTTCGTCGCAAGGAAACCCGCATTAATCCTTGCACTGGAGGTTGATGTCCTGGGGGAGTACTTCGCATTAGCTTACCACCGATTCCTGACAAAGTCCTTTTCAGGGCAACTGTCTGGAAGAAAAAGAAAAAATCATTTGATTTCTGGTTCTTAATTGAGCTCCGCGTTTCCAATTCGGCACATTCGTGCAGTTTTCCGTCTAGGAAATCTAGACTCCTCCTCCGCGTTTGTCACCTCTACTTTTGGACACCTTCTTCGAAGGTTCCCGATCCCCCGTGTCCGTCCTCGACGATTTTCGTGAATTTTTATGAAAATTCTCATTTCTTCTGCAAGCTCCACGTCGAATTGAAACACAAAAGTCAAATAATCATTTTCTTCCTCCAAAGGCTCACCTAGTTGGGACAGAATTTGCAAAAAGACTAGAAAGTCTAAATTATCCAAGCTTGACTTTTTCTTGAGGCTTTTCCAGGAAAAATCTCAATTTCAATTTAACTTAAAGCTAGATTAGCTTCGCCCAGTTGGGACAGAGTTTTATAAGAAGACAAAAGTCGAAACTACCCCCAGCTTGAATTTTTCTTCAAAAAGATTGCCGCCGAGTTAGAACAGAGTTTTATAAGAAGACAAAAGTCGAAACTACCAGTAGCTTGAATTTTATGGAGGACTTTTAGGAAAAACCTCTTTTTCACTACAGTACAGACGAAACTTTGACAAAAACACACGAACCTTCAAAGGTTAGACTGGTTTTCGAACCTGGTGCACCGTTTCTGTTCCCCCGTGTTTTTATTTGTCACTTAACTTCTCGAAGCCGCTCGACGGTTTCCTCAGAGTGCCATCTGAGTTCAACGTACTGTCGTTGTAAACAAAAGTTTCTAGACACCGTGTTAATACAACTTTGGCCCCTCAGACTTCAAAAAACCGAGTTGGAACCCTGCTCCCATATCATACAAAAAACGTCAATTCTCACTTCCTTTTTTCTGGAGGCTGCTGGTTCGCAAGCTCATTCCTTAAAGAACCAGCGGGGTGGTTTTGGCGGAACCTCCTCTCAGTACAACTGAGAAGTTGTACAAACACCCGTGGGAAACAAAAAGGGTTGTTGCTTCACCCCAAAAACAACTGGCATCCCAAACCGACTTCAGACAATCGACAAAAATGAGGAACAGATACAGTCCAGACCTATTCGGCGCCACTCTAGACGAGTTGGACGTGATTCTAAGTCAAGGCCCTATTCCTGCGGCCGTATCGGAATCCGATTTTAATGAGCCTGAAGTCCCGCTCGCCGCAACAAGCCTAAATCCGCCCGAAGCAACGGAACTTTTTGCTGAACTCGAGGAGTTTAGAAGGCAAAAGGAAATTGAAGCTAAGAAAAGCTTATTGCGCGACACTATAGAGGAACAACAATTCATTTTTGAGTTTTTTCAGTGTTGGAGATTGTCAATAACTCAACTACTATATTCTTTAGTTTTCAAGAAGGGATATGGAAAGAGGTACCTTTTCAGGCTGAAGGCTCTTTTTTTTTTTTTTTGTCAAACACATTGTGTTTATTACATTACAATCTAGTCAGTAAGACTAATTAGCAATTTTGTTTTAACCTAATTTACTATAAAGTTTACAATTCTTGAGGTTCACTCAACAGTTTTCCCCACACTGAAGGCTCTTGAGCGTGGGAACTTTTTCGATACCGTGGGAAAATCTCTAGATCGGCAACGCCTTTGATCTGAAATTTTGGGAATTTGACCCGGGCCAACCCCAAAATTTGTGAATCTGGTGAACCATTTACGTAAGAGGTGGGTATTAGTCTGATAGCTGGGGACACTTGAGTCCAAAAAGTGCTTAGGAACTTCACGAAAGGGGGTTTATAGTGGAGGTGGGTAGTAGTATGATGGCTGTGCTGGAGGGAGGTTTAACGTGGTAGAGGTGGGTATGTGGTCTGATAGCTGTGAAAATACTCTATTAGTGTACGCCATGGTATTTTCCTATTTCTGATTATTCCTTCAGCCTTTCCATTAGTAATGGGATTGTAATGGAAATAATCGATTGCTATATCCAAATAATCAGGTAAATTTTATCGAGTTATCCATGCCTCTTTTATAATGAGATCTTTTGTTGCAGGCTTCACTTTAACCTTTATTTTAGGTTTAGTCTATTTTTACCTTTACTTCGTACGTTGTCATCCCTATTTCATCAATTATTTCCTTATAGTAATTTTTGGGGAAACTACTCACAAAGGTTTGACAGGAGTTTGAACACTTTTCACATTTGCTTGTGGATTGGTGGAAAAGCTCCTGGACCCCTTTTCTTTTCCGCCTACGTTAGGGATTGTGGATGTTCCACTCTGCTGTTCTACGTAAATTGGAAAACTTCTCGGTTCAGTGCAGGATTTTTGATAAAAATTTGCAGTACCTACAAGTCAACTTTGTCAAATTGAACTTTGAAAATCCCCTCATATTATATATGTAACTGATTCGCTTGTGAATTTAACATCCACTAAGAAGCAGAACTGGTGAATCACCAATAATAAATCAATCAATCAAGAAGTAGAAAAAAAATTTGAGAAATTTTTTTATAGGTTTGATTATTGTGTAACTAAAATCGCCCCATTAACCTTAAGATTTTGAGGAATGTTCAAACAAAACCAAATCAAATTTATAAAAAAAATTAAACTTTATTTTTTCACCTAAAAACTACAATGTCATGGGGTCTACAATACAACCTCTGTAAACAGATTATTCAAATATGGAAAAATACTTCTTTCATATGCATACAAAAACAAACATATAAATATCGCGAAAACCTTCTAGCAAAACTAGATCACGGTCTTTACAAGATAAGGTCTATGCCAAACTGTATACAATAAAAACGTCCATTGCACGCGCTGGTGCATACGATGGGTGTTGTCTTTGACACAAATGTTTCTTTTCTATGTTTCTTTTAATGTTCAATATCAATGCCACTACTTAAATGTTAGAACTTAATATGGTAAATTAAGCTAATTGTTATGGGTTTCAGAATAAATAGTTGTATTGTATTTATTGCTTATTTAAGTTTAGAACATTCAATTCTCCCCATCCATATATGCTACAGGACAGTTCTATATTCTAAACTATTTTGTAAAAAGGCTTTCACTATTCAAGAGTCCTTAACATTAGTTCAAATACTTTGCAGCAAAACTATTTATTCAAATCGCCCCATAATATCTAATAATAATTATTAATTTTAAATCTATGTTTTATATATTATCAGTCAAAGTTACAAGTACACGTTACAATAGACATGCTTAAAAACTATAATTTGTGTTCTTTATAGCAGACACATTCAAAATAATATGTTTGGCAAAATAATTATTTAAAATCCAAAAAAAAAAAAATTAAGAAGGTAAACATAGCTAATACAGATCAATAATACATAGTTCTAAAATAAACCACATTGAAATCTTATACTTATCTATATTTTACACGTAGTATATAGTGTTACGTTACTCCTAAAACACAAAAGAGTATTATACAGATTTGTATTCACTACACTGTAAACTATTGATCTATTTAATTTTTGAAATATTAATTTCTGTAGCAAAATAATATAATATTCATCTATACTATATTATGTTGTTTTATCTGATAGGTACCTACATGTAGCTGATGTAGCTACAGTTCAGAACCATCTTTACAGTAAACAAAAATTAAAAAACCAATATAATGTTTAGGAACTTGCAAAACTGTGTAGATATGCTTGTCAACAATATACAAGGTTGAACAAAATTAATAATAATCGTAATACTTGTCTAGCCTATATACTATTGTATCAATAAACAATCTTACCATCATGCTCTTTATACAATATATTTTTTTTTTTGAGAAAATCAACTTAAAGCTAACATTGGCTCATTTAATTCTTTAGCTTTTTGAAGCAATTTTGCTTCGTGCTTTTTCTCCGGAGCTAATTTTGCTAGCTTCGTTTTTGATTTTGATAATTTCTTTTCTGGAGGAATGTCAATAATGTCTCCTTGATTATACGAAGGCAATAATAATGCCCTTGTTAGAATAAGAAGATTGTCGTCATTGGGCGTTTTGTCTTCATTACTGTCCAGCAATGCTAAGCTTTCCAAAATATTCTTTGGCCTTTTTGCATCAATTTGAGCATTATATGTAGATTTTTTTGGATCGTTTTCCACATTTGATAAGGTTCTGGTACCATTTTTATTGCTATAAACAACAACGTACTGGGAGTACTGACGCTCTGGAGTGGTGTTGATGTCGGCAAAATCCCGGAAGTTATCAAACTGCTGTTGTTTACCTAAAAAAAAAAAATCAATAAAATATTTTGGTTAAATAGAGAATCCAAATTTTACCTGGCTTGGGATTGGTTGGTAAGAAATATGACGGACGTCCGTGGCCATTATGGAAGTACGAGGAAAAATCGTCATAGCTGGAACTGTCACCAGTATCGTAGCCGTCTTTTTCTGGATAGAAGGTTCCGCCTGCAATGACTCCAAAGTTACCATCACCTGCGTCATGGAAAAACAAAATTAGGTAACAATATTTGTATTAATTTTAATACTTTTTTGAATTTATTACCGAGAAGGGAAACTCCTTTATCGTATTTCTGTTGCTGTTGCTGTGGCTCTTGGTATTCTTTTGCGTATGGATTGAATCCGTCGACTTTGGATTGTTCGTTGAATCCTAGGTGTTGTTGGAATGGAGGGTCGTTTCTTTGACTGTATGCACCTATTGAAAAATATATAAATCTTTTCTGGAAAAGTTTACTAAATACAACGTTGAGCTTGAAGCTCTAACTTAAGTATGGCTTATAAATAAACATGTTAGCGTAGTCCAAACCGAATTGTCCGGCATATCTATTGCAAGGACAAGACAATCATCATCTACTTGGTAGTAGTCAAACCTTATCTGCCCTAAACAGCGACAAATTTGCTGCTGAGTCAGTATAAGAATTTGACAAATCAGTTATTGTCCTGAAAAACAGGATTTCTGTCAGGTGGGTCAAGGGGCATTGCGAAGGATTGGCAGGACCATGACGTCATGGGACACTCTCTACCAAATCTAGGTCCAGAAGGTACGACTTTGAAGGTTTGTTAAATAATCTATGGGCCTGCTATGTGTACAATGACAATCGTGATGGCTTCATTTTCAAAAAATCTGCATTGAGGCAGTTATGGGCAGACTTTTTCATTAGAACATGGGATCCAGTCAAGGGAATGTGGTCATTACCATCATCAAAAAGTGAAAGAGAAGACATTTGAACACACCTTCTAACAAAGTGTACATACCTACCTACCTTATGATTTAGATTTTGGAAAACTTTGAAAGTTCATAATTTTTTTTCTATTATAGATAAAAAGCTGAAACTTTCACTGAATTTTATCCCAATCAAGGGACTACAAGAGAGAGCCGTTTTTCATAGATTTCGGCTTCAAAACCTGAGAATAATTTTGTGTATGGAGTTTGGATGATGTTGTTTGACTATTAGGATAATTTCATCGTTTTAGTAAGAAGGTACCTACCTTATGATTTAGATTTTGGAAAACTTTGAAAGGTTATAACTTTTTTTCTATTGTAGATAGAAAGCTGAAACTTTCACTGAATTTTATCCCAATCAAGGAACTACATTCCCTGAAAATTTCAGCGCATTTGCACTTATAGTTCCTGAGATAAAATCGTGTTAAGCAATTTGGGGTGGTTTATCAATTTTTCAATTTTTCTGAGTGCCTTTTTTCATAGATTTCGGCTTCACATCTGAGAATAATTTAGTGTATGGAATTTGGGGGATGTTGATTGACCATTAGGATACAAAATCTTGACAAAAAAAAATTGAAATTTCATCGTTTTAGTAAGAAGATACCTACCTTATGATTTAGATTTTGGAAAACTTTGAAAGGTCATAACTTTTTTTCCGTTATAGATAGAAAGCTGAAACTTTCACTGAGTTTTATCTCAATCAAGGGACTACAATCCCTGAAAATTTCAGCTCATCTGCACCTATAGTTCCTGAGATAAAATCGTGTTAAGCAATTTGGGGTGTTTTATCAATTTTTCAATTTTTCTGAGTGCCTTTTTTCATAGATTTTGGCTTCAAACCTGAGAATAATTTAGTGTATGGAGTTTGGAGGACGTTGAGTGACCATTAGGATACAAAATCTCGACAAAAAAAATTTTGAAATTTCATCTTTTTAGTAAGAAGGTACCTCGGAAGGTACCTACCTTAAGATTTAGATTTTGGAAAACTTTGAAAGGTCATAACTTTTTTTCTAATATAGATAAAAGGCTGAAACTTTCACTGAATTTTATCCCAATCAAGGGACTACAATCCCTGAAAATTTCAGCTGATTTGCACTTATAAGTTCCTGAGATAAAATCGTGTTAATCAATTTGGGGTGGTTTATCAATTTTTCAATTTTTCTGAGTGCCTTTTTTCATAGATTTCGGCTTCATATCTGAGAATAATTTAGTGTATGGAATTTGGGGGATGTTGATGGACCATTAGGATACAAAATCTCGAGAAAAAAAAAATTGAAATTTCATCGTTTTCGCTTTCAAAATTTTTGCATAGTTTTCAAAGACACAAGTATATGTTTTATTTTTACGTTAAATCTGATAGAGTTGCCTTGATATTCTAAAATAAGTACCTATGTAACAAAATTATTATACCTTCTTGTTGCTTGTAGCTATTATATAACACTGGTCTGGAATGTCCTGAAGGTGGATGGTCGTAGGGGTCATATGATCTCGAAAACGACGGAAACCTGGTGAATTTTGATAAAATTAGGAAACGATAAAATAATAACAAAAAAGTTATAGAGTCAAATCATATAAGAATATAGATGCTAAATATTTAAATTAAACAATTGTTATCGATGTTATTTATTCATATCATCTCATCTAAAGGACCCCGCACAAAACTTATGGAAAAGTGGTTCCGTCAAATTCAATAAAAATTTAGTATGATATAGTTCATGATCTCCTGATCAAATTTCATCATTGACACAAAAAAATGGGTCGAGCCGTTTTCGAGTTATAGCCTTTTCAAGGTGGCGGGTTGCAGATCAAGGTAAAATTATAGACTATGGATTTTCATATTTAAGTTATATTTTTTATTGGGAGCTTGATAACTATGAGAAATACGTGGTTAATTGGGGCAAAGTAGCGCATTTATATCTGGTCAACAACAACAACTGGTCAATGGCTTGACTTGAAAAAAAGAATGCAATTTGGTAGGCATACCAATGATAATATCATCCAAATATTTTAAAATGTACGATTCCAGTTCTGCATCAAAAAGATTATCTACTAAACCTTGGAAAGTTGCAGGAGCATTATGAAGACCGAATGGCATCCTGACGAACTGAAAAAGACCCTTGGACGACACAGTGGAAACTGTATATTGGCGAGAAGAAGGTTCAAGTTCAATCTGGCCAATAAGCACTTTGAATATCAAACGAGGAAAAATATTTGGCACCTCCCAGCTTACCTTATATATCAGAAATGTATGGTAATGGGTACGCATCAAGTTCACTAACACGGCTAGTCTTGCGGAAATCAACACAAAACCTCCAAGTTTTGTCTCTTTCAGGTAGGTACTACCAATACTAGTGAAGAACAAGCACTCGTGGACTTCTCAACAACTCCCAATTCAATCTTTCATCAAGTTCTGCATTAATGATCTCTATATAGGTATGTATTTTTAGTTTAAAATGATAAAAGCATTATAAACCTCAAAAATAAGAACATGTGCTACTTTGCTCCAATTGACCATCTTCGTTACGTACCTATCTCTTACAATTTTCAAGCTCCCAAAAAAAAATATAACTTAAATATGAAAATCCATAGTCTATAATTTTACCTTGATCCAAAACTCGCCACTTTGAAAAGGCTATAACTCTAAAACGGCTCGAACGATTTTTTTGTGGGAAGGATGAAATTTAATCAGGAGGTCATGAACTATATCATACTAAAATTCTATTGTGTGTATAATGTATATAACTTAAAATTAAAATCATTAACCACTAACACATTATTAAATGACCATAGTCGTTTTTTATATCAAATAAGGTTCTCGTAAATTGTACAAACAACATCCAAACCTCTTTTGCGATGGTTTCATATAATGATCCTTTTCTACCTGATGCAAAAATTCTTTTGTTAAATTGTTATATTATTTACCAATGTCCTGTTTCTGCTTGCACTTCAACGTTGGTAGGTGCGGGTTTATGGTCCTCTTCAAGTGGTTCCATGTACATATCCGAATCGTCGTCGGCTTTTTCTTGTTGGGCAGACTCTACAAGACAAAAATAAAATTGGACAATAACATCTTTAAATCATCGTAAACTGCCGAGGAAAAAAAAACATTAGCGAGTGAAGCAACCGCTTAATGGTGTTAATGGTTCATCATCCTCATAAGGACTTGTTTTGTTTTTTGTTTTAATGGAATCAAACATAACATTGACATATTAAAATTGTCCTTGTTGCTACTAGAACAATAATTATTATTTGTGTAATTTTTTTTTTTGAAGCGTCTAATAAATAATTTACATCTGGTTCCTGGTTGACTCATCCCACTTTGGTAAAACAATCGAAATCAGATATGTTTATATCTGTTAAATAATAGGCAATCAAAAGAAATCTAAACCCACACGCTTTTGTAACATGAATTCCTACATTTAAATAGGGGAAATTATCATAAATAGTTTGTTGGTAAAATAATGCAAGAGCAATTTTAGATTTTAAGTATCTATTGTGTTGCAATTTGTTCTTGTTTGGTTTTGTTGGGGTTATCGTTTCCAAATTTCGAAATTGGTTTGGTAGGTACCTATTATTTTATTTTTGACTAAATGACAAATGCTTGAATTACCTTTTTTCCTGCTATGTTCTGTCACCAACATGCTTCATTGTATATTGTTTTAGCACCCATAAGTTACACAATTGGGTACCCAACTATTTTTTTATTGGGCCCATTACAATGGTGCGAGACACCGCAACATTTCATGCACTATTTGAGCAGTATTGTCACCAACGCTTCGCTTATTAAGTAATACTTCGGTTACGGTTTCGTACCACAACTAAGTCATTAGGTTACAGAGCAAATTATACACGATTTGATCGTGATTAATGTTTGTTGTATCTAAATAATTATTGTAAAACATTTAAATGTAGAAACTTTGCTACTAAGATGGTATACAGACCTCAAGGACTCAAGCTTTTACGATTCAATGATTGCTTAAAGAGAGTTCTTCCATTAATTCTCGTTGGAAGGAACATTTTCAGGAACTACCAAACAGAGAATCACAAATTAATAATGACATATTCAACGAAAGTCCACAGAAACCAAAACAGCAAGAACTGATTGAGGTTCCCAGATTAGAAGGTTGGGTACTGACTTCATTCTTGCTGATTTTTTTAAACAAGGAGGCCCACACTAAGTGCTCAAACCCGCACATCCTAATAATTAAAATATGGATTACTGAGTTGCCATTTTTAAAAAAGAAAATGGTTCAATGTGGAAACTACACGGCATACCCATATAGCACAAAATATTTTTGATCCAACAGTGGATATTTTTTGAACAACGCTAATAAAATATTTTTAAAAGATTTAAACAACATTTGTGACCACACATTGGGATGACGTTACTTCTCATAATAATTCCAGCAGTTAACTTTTAGTTATCTATCAAAATAGTTTTATAATACCCGCCCTTAGCCGTGCTCCATCGCCCGTCACTTAGTGTTGTGATGTCAGAGAAAATAAAATGTAAATACCTTTTGGCTTTGCCTCTCGCTACTTATATAATAGAAACAGATAATTTCACCCCTACCAACCTACATTTAGAGGAACTCTTCGACAAGCACACAATTGCACAGTTCATCATCAATCAACAAAATGACAACGGCTCGGCTATCAAAAATTCCAATTATAAATTGTGCGATTGTTTTGGACCGTTCTAGAATCGTCCTTTTTTCGAACCAAAACAAAGCTTTTGATTTGATTTAACTTGTCTTTGTTTGCTGTTTCTATGCGCCATACCTATCTGCTACCGGTTGAATTAATTCGCAGTGTTGTCAGCTAGTAACCACTGTAACGGTAAAGTAAAAATGGCCATACCCGGAAACCCATGAAAGCTTCCAATTATAACATGGTTCTGGCAACACTGTTGTAGATTTGTGCTACTTTTGAGGCGGACCTGGCGACCGACGCCGGCGTGTTTAGTTTTGCTTCCATAGTTTTGCAGCTGCGCAGCTTCAAAGTTGATTATTTTATTTGTCGAGCCCATAAGGCGAGAGTTTTTCTTAGGGCGAGAAACTATAAAAACTCCGGCCCTTCGGGCACACAATCGAAAATATTCTCGCCCTACGGGCTCTTAATTATAAATACTCCGGCCCTTCGGGCTCGCAGTCCCCGAAACAAAAAGACGTCATTTTGTATCGACTGGCAAAAATAATTACAAAATCTACTTTGGATGTCAAATTTTTTGACGTTTGTGTTGCATTTTCCAAACCCAGTCTACTTGTGAATTAGTTTGACATTTTGGTTCATAGCTCTGTCGATTGTCAATTGATTTTAACGTAGTTAGGCTTCAATTGAAACCAATTGAATTCTTTACAAATCACTAATTTGAAGTTTTGATGCAGCTTCCATAGTTTTCGAAGTTGATTATTTTATTTGTCGAGCCCATAGGGCGAGAGTTTTTCTAATCTTGAGCCCGTAGGGCGAGAGTTTTTTAGATTTCGAACCCATAGGGCGAGAAACTATTAAAACTCCGGCCCTTCGGGCTCGCAGTCCCTGAAACAAAAAGATGTCATTTTGTATCGACTGTCAAAAATAATTACAAAGCCTACTTTGGATGTCAAATTTTTTGACGTTTGTGTTGCATTTTTAAAACCCAGTGTACTTGTGAATTAGTTTAACATTTTGGTTCATAGCTCTGTCAATTGTCAATTGATTTTGACGTGGTAGTTTTGACGCAACTTCGATAGTTTGGCAGCTGCAAGGCTTTAAAGTTCCCGCAAAAAAAGATTACAAGGCCTACTTGGTTTTTTGACATCGCTTCATATTTTGGCTCATAACTCTGTCAGTTATCAACCGATTTTGACGTAGTTAGGCTTCAATTGAAAAATTGAATCCTCTACAAATCACTAATTTGAAGTTTTGATGCAGTTTCCATAGTTTTGCAGCTGCGCAGCTTCAAAGTTGATTATTTTCTTTGTCGAGCACATAGGGCCAGAGTTTTCCTAATCTAGAGCCCGTAGGGCGAGAGTTTTCTAGATTTCGAACCCATAGGGCGAGAAACTTTAAAAATTTCGGCCCTTCGGGCTCACAATCGAAAATACTCTCGCCCTACGGGCTCGTAATTATAAATACTCCGGCCCTTCGGGCTCGCAGTCCCCGAAACAAAAAGACGTCATTTTGTATCGACTGTCAAAAATAATTACAAAATCTACTTTGGATGTCAAATTTTTTGACGTTTGTGTTGCATTTTCCAAACCCAGTCTACTTGTGAATTAGTTTGACATTTTGGTTCATAGCTCTGTCGATTGTCAATTGATTTTGACGTAATTAGGCTTCAATTGAAACCAATTGAATCCTCTACAAATCACTAATTTGAAGTTTTGATGCAGCTTCCATAGTTTTGCAGCTGCGCAGCTTCGAAGTTGATTATTTTATTTATCGAGCCCATAGGGCGAGAGTTTTTCTAATCTTGAGCCCGTAGGGCGAGAGTTTTTTAGATTTCGAACCCATAGGGCGAGAAACTATAAAAACTCCGGCCCTACGGGCTCGCAGTCCCTGAAACTAAAAGATGTCATTTTGTATCGACTGTCAAAAATAATTACAAAGCCTACTTTGGATGTCAAATTTTTTGACGTTTGTGTTGCATTTTTGAAACCCAGTGTACTTGTGAATTAGTTTGACATTTTGGTTCATAGCTCTGTCAATTGTCAATTGATTTTGACGTAGTTAGGCTTCAACTGAATCCTTCACAAATCGCTAATTTGAAGTTTTGACGCAACTTCGATAGTTTGGCAGCTGCAAGGCTTTAAAGTTCCCAAAAAAAATTACAAGGCCTACTTGATTTTTTGACATTGCTTCATATTTTGGCTCATAACTCTGTCAGTTGTCAACCGAGTTTGACGTAGTTAGGCTTCAATTGAAACCAATTGAATCCTCTACAATTCACTAATTTGAAGTTTTGATGCAGCTTCCATAGTTTTGCAGCTGCGCAGCTTCAAAGTTGATTATTTTATTTGTCGAGCCCATAGGGCGAGAGTTTTCTAATCTAGAACCCGTAGGGCGAGAGTTTTTTATATTTCGAACCCATAGGGCGAGAAACTATAAAAACTCCAACCCTTCGGGCTCGCAATCAAAAATACTCTCGCCCTACGGGCTCGAAATTATAGATTCCGGCCCTTCGGGCTCGCAGTCCCCGAAACAAAAAGACATCATTTTGTATCGACTGTCAAAAATAATTACAAAATCTAGTTTGGATGTCAAATTTTTTGACGTTTGTGTTGCATTTTCAAAACCCAGTCTACCTGTGAATTAGTTTGACATTTTGGTTCATAGCTCTGTCGATTGTCAATTGATTTTGACGTAGTTAGGCTTCAACTAAATCCTTCACAAATCACTAATTTGAAGTTTTGACGCAACTTCGATAGTTTGGCAGCTGCAAGGCTTTAAAGTTCCCAAAAAAAAAGATTACAAGGCCTACTTGGTTTTTTGACATCGCTTCATATTTTGGCTCATAACTCTGTCAGTTGTCAACCGATTTTGACGTAGTTAGGCTTTAATTGAAGCCAATTGAATCCTCTACAAATCACTGATTTGAAGTTTTGTTGCAGCTTCCATAGTTTTGCAGCTGCGCAGCTTCAAAGTTGATTATTTCATTTGTCGAGCCCGTAGGGCGAGAGTTTTTTAGATTTCGAACCCATAGGGCGAGAAACTTTACAAATTTCGGCCCTTCGGGCTCGCAATCAAAAATACTCTCGCCCTACGGGCTCGTAATTATAAATACTCCGGCCCTTCGGGCTCGCAGTCCCCAAAACAAAAAGACGTCATTTTGTATTGACTGTCAAAAACAATTATAAGGCCTAATTTAGATGTCAAATTTTTTGACGTTTGTGCGCTAGGGTTGCTGCTTTTTCAAAACCCAGTCTACTTGCGAATTTGTCTTGTTGTGTCATAAGCAGTGTTGCCATATGTTTTCTTCAAATCTCGAACCCGAACGGCTGAGGTTATGCGAGCCCGAAAGTCCGGAGTAATACGAGCCCGAGGGGCCGGGGTTAT